GAACCATTTGACAAGTCCGCACCCAAATCCGAAGCTCGCCAGCTTTTGCAGAAGTCTCTTGTGATTGACTCGATCGAATGCCTTCTCGAAGTCAGTGTACAATACATCAGTTTGACATTTAGCTATCATTGAATCCATAGTGTAGTTCACCATTTGCAGCAAATTCGTTGAGGTTGACCGATTTTTCACAAAACCATGCTGGTTATGGATGATTTTGCCATTCACAAATGCTTGAATTTTATTGTAAACAATACTTTCGAACACTTTTGCTATCGTCGGTAAGCACAAGGCACGTTGATTTATTATTCCTCCTTCGAATTAAAACCAATACCCATAAATACACACGATGTTCAATTTTTTTATTTGATAGAAGCTCAATTCATTGGATATGTTTATACTATAACCCTGTTGATCTAATGATATATGTATGTGATAGTTTCAATAGAAAAATAGTGTCAAAAGAACAACTGGAGGTAATTAAAAGACTATATCCATTTTTAAACGATCCCAAAAATTATATACGTTTCAAAGATTCTTTTGTTTCTCAAGAAGATGACATTTCTTGTGGGGTAATTGCATTATTCAATTTAATAAATAATGATTGTTAAAGGAGTAACATCAAAAAGTTCATTGGTCAAATCTTCCACGAAATTGCCGTACATTGATAAAATTAAATATATAAGAGAAACATTGAAAAATTTAGTTATTAATCATATGGATATATGAATAATTATAAATATATATTAATTAAATAAATTATGGTTTTATTTATTATATTATAATCTCTTAATACAATGGGTTTTGGGTACGATAATATTATCACATATGTGAACGTGGATTGTACATTATTTCACATTGAGAATTAAAATAATATGAAATTTTTTATTTGAGTTATCTCAAACATGAATTACACAAACATGTGTTTTCCGATGGCTAAGCATCTCAGCATTTTGTAAGCTACGGATATATCCGAGCATATCGAAGACGCATACTGTATAATACAGTGGCGTGTGTTACTACGTGCAGCCGCAACGACTCGACCGGAATGTGTATGTTGTTGCTGAGTGCAGCCACATCAACTGAACACACTTGAATATGAATGGCTGAGAATGAAAAGAACATAGATTGGGAATATGTTTGAATGAAACATTATGTAAAATAAATTTCGAAGGAAAACACTTCGTTCGTCAATTTGTTTTTTTTATTTTTTCTATGCAATTTTTCTCGAAATTTCAATGGCCCATTCAGCAGCTCGGGCCCCTAACATCGCGGGGCCCTGAGGCGGTTGCCTCATTCGCCTCCAGGCTAAGACGGCGCTGGTGTGCACAATTGTGTGTTTTTTATACGATTTCAAAGTCATTGCATATTGTCAAATATTGTTCACACATTCGATGAAATTCGTGCACTAAATGTCATTGCACTTTGTTTCTGACGTATTCCAATAGACTGCATCGTTTCCGACAAAACTTGACGAATTTTGGGGGCAAATAGCCTATTCGTTGAAGAATCATGAGGAAAGAAAATTCCAATCCAAAAATGTCAAAAAGCTATGATTGACCTGGCGCATTATGTATATCGCCAAACAATCAATTTTAGTCATTTTTGACGTAATATATACTTTTTACTCGCTGCTATCACATTTTTTACCGTATTAATTGCTTTGTGGCTGTAGAATTATTTTGAAGTTTTATACCAAAAATGACATCTACTTTTCAAGACCTTTCTAGTGATATACATAACTTTTTGATCCAACCTGCCGTTCAGTGTTGTACAAAAGGACTTGAAATTTATTTAGATAAAGATAAGATATTTGTGAAAAATCATAAAAATAATTTAGTTGAAGATGAGATATTATCTTATCTATCCAATAAAAGATAAGATATTTTTTTCCAATTATTACTTTTTCGCACGCCCATGTCGTGAGTAAAAGTATTGTAATCCAGATCTCAAATACCAGAATAGGAAATGAAATTCTGCAAGTACCAAACGTTTGTGCTTCGTTAGACTTGGAAACCATTAAATTTTCAGCCACCTTAGATGTACCCTAGAATACCTAGCCTATGAAAAACCTTCAAAAAATCGAACTTTTGTTCGGGAGGTACCCAAAATAGGCTCCCAGGTGGATTTTATCACTCCCACTCGATTTATTTCATCAAAATAATAGGGGCCCAGGAACAACCTAGCACCCGCTAACCTCCCTTTTTTCGTATCCAATCGGTATTGAAAAGTGATTCTGATAGCGAATGTGATAGCGCCTCTAAAGTCTCATTTATTCTCAACAATGTGGATTTTCCCGAGTTGGAAGAGGATGGATTTTACTACGAAATCGAAGACTTGTGTGAAACTTCAAAGAATACAGATCTAGAATCAAGATTTTCGGAATCATAATACAATTTTCCATAAAAAACATGAACGTACTGTTGTTTTTTTTCTGAAAATTCTTATAAATTTCCTAGGCAAAATCTGAATAAAAGCTGAACGCTATGAAAACGGTGCGGAAAAGTTCGTCTTACGGAGGTAAGACTATTTATTTTTTAGTTATCTTTGATATTTTTCTACACAGACAGCACTATTGGATAACCCTTGTCCAATTTTCAGCCAATATATCAATCCATCCATATTTTTGGACAACTTCACTCATATTGTCTTATTTTTTGGCCAACCTTACAACTATTATACATACCACTGTATATTTGGCACTTGGAGGTAAATTAGCATGAAGTTGGCCACAAAATGAGACAATATGAGTGAAATTGTCCGAAAATATGGATGGATTGTCATATTGTCCGAAAAAGAGACACCTATTGGAAAATCGAATTATCTTTGAAATTATCTAAAAAATTCGAGATAGATAACGAAAGAAGTATTCAGATAAGATATCAAGATAGATGACCAATCTGAGTGACCTAAATCAGTAAAGATAAAGATCTATCTAAATTTTATCTTTGTTTACTCCTTAAAATATATTTCGGTCCATTTGACATCAAACGATTATAGCGAAAAACAGAGAAATCAGTGTGAATCAGTCCTAATAAATTGGCAAATTCACTTGCAGAATTTTTTTTGACAGCTCTCACATTACAGAGCTCGCTACATTGCTGAGTTCGCTGCGTTCAGTGTAAGGAAGTCTGGTTTACATTTGTTCATATTTCAAAAAGACCGAAATTTATTTAAAGGAGTATACAACACTGCTTCCGTTCAAAATCTCAATTTTCGATGTCAAAATCGGCCATAGTGGAATTGGTATGTATATGTTTTTGCCTTCATTTTTGTGAAGAGATCAACATTGCAATCTCCGATGTATTGAAAAAATTCCAAAAAACTTGCTGTTGTCTTTCATATTTCGATTTTTTATGACTTTCATCACATTTTCATACTTTTCCGATCAATAAATACTGAAATATTTACATTTAGAAATAAAAATTTAAGAAAAAACTGACATTTCCCATTTAAAATGCATTATTATGGGCACTCATTCACCGATTTCACGAACAACGTTAGAAAATACATTTTACGGTTTGAAGGTTAAAGTAAAGTAAAAGGTAAAGAGGTTTCAAAAAGTTTGGTAAGATTTGAACATAATGAGTGTTTGGCAGTGTGGAAAAGTTCCTCTTACGGATGTAAGACATTTTATTTACCATTTCAAATACATTGATAAATATATTATAAAGACTCGCCACGCTGTCCGCATCTGCCTCGTCACTTTCGAATTCTGTCTGTGCATCGTGTGATGTGGCTCTAAAATTGGGAATGTCACTAGCATCTAAGTCTTCCACATTTGTTTCGTAGTCCATGTCGGACTGCGACATTGGGATCTTGATGTGCATCATCATCAATATCTGTCTCATAGTCCATGTCGTTAGTTTGTGAATCAATTGCTTGCGAATTGATATTTGATTCATTGGAATTTCTTTGGAAGTGCTCAGATTCCAGATTGGAATCGTAGACAAGTTGCAGGCTCATCTTCCTAGTAATCCTACAAATAGAACGGAACATTTTTATTATGGTGGGAACAGAGCGTGTTATATACTGAAATGAGCAGCAATCACTAACGTCAGCTGCTGATTCATATGCGTTGCGTATTCATATGCTGATAAATTTATCGCATAACAAAACCTATCAATTCGGTGCCTGTAATGCAATTCTTTTTTTTAATATCTCTTTTACTGGCCGATTTACACTATGTGTGTGGCCAACTATAATTGGTAACAGAGAGAACTTAACAAGCCCATTGAATATGTTTGCAGGCCATATCTCGAACGTTATGGCTATTTTTTCGGTTCTGTTCTTTCGCTAAGGTGTTAAAATTAGTTTTCAAAAGTACGACTTTACGTACTATTCTATAGTACGCTCATGTTTTTTGTACTTAATTCGATGCACTATTTTCATCGGTGTTTCGTATCCTAATGAAATGACTTTGTTGGGTTAAGTATAAGTATGCTTATCAAGTAATTGAATGAAACACCTATAACTTAAATTGATTGGAATGAAAGCAAACAATAGCCGTTTTTCCGGATATTCTGGCCGCATATCTATTGTAGCACACACAAATATTTTTTGTTTGTTCTTCGGGTCGGTCACAACTGCACTAATTTGTTTCTGGTTTTGGTGTTAATTTTGACCCCATTATATATGCATACAAAATTGTGTGTGATATTGTTTTGGCTATCGTTGCTTTTTATTGCATTCCAGCATGATTGATTGGCACGGGCTGCATTTTTGCCATATATACAATGTTGCATTATATTTTTTATTCCTGCTTTTGTATCCAATTTGTTGTGTTACCGCTATCACTTGTGCATGAATGCTAAACGAATTTTCTATATAAATAAAATGCATGGCTTTGAAATGGGCAAAAATATCAGTAGAAATGGTTCGAGCGCGTGCGGCTAATTGTTTACGTTTTTAAAATTTATTTGGCCAAAGTTCTGCATTACATATAGTCAAACGCGAGCCGCTAGCCATTTCTTTACATTTCCTGTGTTCATTCTGTGTTTCATTTTTATTTATTTATTATTGTGTTATTAGCTTTCGCTTGCCGATTGGATTTATATGTGTTTTTATTTGTTCATTTCGGTGTGAACCCGGAAAAACACATTTGGAACCATTTTCAATTTGAACAAACAAATAAGTTTTTCTTTGATTCACACTCAAGTTGGATTGGGCTGGAAGAAGAGTAGTCAGTGTATTTTGAATGAGATATAGAGAGTGGTGGGTGCACGAAATATTATTGGTGCTTCATAAATGACCGCATTGAATGGATATTAAATTGCATTTCATTCAATGCATCAGTTTCAGCCTTCCGCATTGAAAAAGCTCCAACAGTTTAGAGTGAGAGGCAACTAACGGTGGTAACAACGACAGCAAAAGAACGAGAGCTTTGAATTCGAAGATATTCTATCGTCGCTGATCTTTAATAATCATATTTTGTCATTTTGGCGTGTGAAAAGACAGAAAAAACACAAGTGCGATAAGACCATTAAAAGAAGAATTTCATTGAGTGTAGTGCACCGTTCACATAGATCTAACGCAGGTCGTGAGAGAGAGTGAGAGAGAGAGAGAGAGCAGTGCGTTATAAATAAAAATGATTGACACAAACATTCAATCATTAAAACTATCGTGCTTGTTAATGCTCGTACTAATGGAAGGTAAAGAAAAAAAACCTATATTTCGGACCATTCAAATCTTAATAAAGTGTACATCCGAAGAACTACACTTCGGTTGCTTAGTTTTTATTGCTGTTTTGCTCTTTAATTCTTTTTCTTTCGATTTTCTTCTGTTCATTCGTTCGCTGCTTCGATTCGACTAAAAAAATCTATTTTTGCTGGCATATGCACCAATAGCGGTGATGGGAGTAAGTATCGCAGAGCCAATAGCGAATGCCCAACCAGAACCAGGCGGTACGAATGGCCAAGCATCAAACTATACGAACGAAGATAAAGACTATGGAGTTACTTGGATGTATATTCCCGATGGTAATGGTGTTCCACAAGTCGCGTATCTGATCGAAGAAAAAGGATCATCGCGGGGCCGTGATAAAAATACCAGAGATGCCGTTCGTTTTGAACTGTATACGCAGTGAGTATTTAGCACCAAATTGAAATTATATCAAAACCATTTCTTTGCTCTCTCACACTATCACTTGCTCCTTGTCTGTATTCGCTAGTACTAGCCAATGCTGATGTAGCTCATATTTACTTTACTGACACATGATGGAATCAGACATTTTTAAAAAAAATATAATGTTCGCTAGGACCATGCAGCTAGCACTAAAGCATTTATTGCCTTTCCTAAATTGAGCATATTCTGTACAATTTTAAACCAACGTATCTATAGAGTATATTTTGTTAGAGTTAGCAAATTGAACGTAGAGAAATGTACGAGTTTTTGGTATAAGAATGATTTAATGACTGACTTTAAATTTTATAGTGACACATAAGAGGAAAGGATAGCGATTACAATAATGTAATCCCGCGTGCAAATAAAATGACTAACAATCACTCAGTTGTATGTAGCTGTATGTAGTGGTATACAACTTAAACTGGCTAAGTTGATTGAAATCAACTGTTCTGTATGGAGATAATCACGTTTAGTTATTTTTTCAGTCAGTCGGCTGATTTGGGACATTTTGACTGAGAGTGATTTGTGATTAAAATTAACTACAGTTGCTTATTTTATTCGAGACAATCACTTTGAGTCAGTCAAATATTCACTGAATGTCCCAAATTAATCGAGTCAAAAAAAATTCCACACGGGATACTGTCTACATTCTCTCTCTCATCACTAGTTCAAATAAAAAGTTTTACCTCCGTAGAACGAACTTTTCCACACATACTGCACACATCTTATGTTTTGATTCCCACTAATATCCCTAAAACCACTTTTAAATCAGCTGAAGTAGTCTTGTGTTGACCAAAGAATTGACCATAGAATAGATGCGATTATTTGACAATTCATTTCATATCAACAAACTACTATTCCCAAACCATTTCTAGTATGAAAAAAGTGCATTGACATGTAAAAACCACGATTTTCAGCCCCAAAATAAACATACCCCCATAACTACCCCAAATATGAATATGGGATCGTAATATTTTGTTTTTGGGGGTTTTGAGGGATGCCCTTTCGAACGCGCATGGACATTTGAAAATCAGCGTGTAACAGTATGGGATGTTTACTGGTCAGCCTAACCCTGTATAAAAAACCAATGACTGTCTCATGACGATTTAACGCTGGCTCCCATCGTATGATTCATTAAGTACTCAATTTACTCATATCAACACAATATTCAAAAACGAAAACTCTTGAGAAACCCTACGCTCTTTAACATCGACTGGGTTTTATTCAAATACGACGGGTTTTAGTACCCCTGGCGCACACTTGGTGAACTGTCATCAATATCAATTGTTCGCACACCGTTTAATTTAACTTGACCCGTTCAGTTTGCGCGTATTCATTGCACTGGAGGCATTTTGATTTGTTAGCTGTTGTGTGTAATTAATGCGGAAGGGAATATAGCAAAAAAAAAATCGAAAATGCTTAGGTTGCCGCAAAAAAAATGCTATTCCTTGACGAATATCACCTCGATTTTATCATAATTCAGTAAAGTAAACATGCACCAATAGTGGTTCCCGGTGGTGTTTGCTGGTGAGTGTGTGTTTGTTTGTGTAAGTAACTTAGTGTGAGAGTTAAAGAAAATCCAGAAACGAAAGCAAAATGTTGCAAAAAAGAAATGCTAAGCAACTGAGCAAGCAAAAAAATCGCGAACGAACAAAAATAGAATTTAGGAAATAAATTAGTAAATTGAGAATCGAAGCAAAATAATACAGGCAATCACGCGAACCAAAAACGATGAAAATGGACAGACGGAAACGGCGTAATGTTGAAGATTTTACGGCAGCATTCAACAAAGATTTGCCAACATACGTTGTGGTACATGGTTGGAAGTCGAGCACAAGCAGTGACACGGTACAGGATATCAAGGATAATTATTTAAAAACCAGAGACTGCAATGTAATCGGTGAGTGTTGGTATGTGTGTGTTTGTGATTATTTTTGTTACACTTTTTCTGCCAGCACATAGAAAGCGTCACTCTGTCGCTGTGTTTTGATCCGAAAATGTCATATTTCGACGATAACAATTAATGGGGAATGTGCTTGTATGTTTGTTTTTCATTTTGATGGTTTTTGGCTGCTGCTGATGCTACTGATACTGTTTCGGACACTGATCAAGGCGTCGATTGGAGTGATCTAGCAAAGAATAATTTTTACTTCACTCCTGCCCGCCAAACACGAGATGTTGGCAGCTACATAGCTGAAATGATCGACTTCATGTGCACGGTAAAAGGCGCTGATATCAATACATTTCATTTGATTGGTCACAGCCTTGGAGCCCATACAGCTAAGTGAAATTACTCATACCGTACCTCTTGGTACGGGCAAAATTTCCACAAAAATGTGCTCATTTTATAAACCTAAAGCATGCCAAGAAGACAGGTGCTAACACATTCTCTTTTTCACACATTACACACATAAACATAGGTTGGATATGCTGGAATGTACACAAAAACCGGGAAGATACCACGAATTACTGGTAAGTTCTAACATCTATGAAACGAACCATAACAACGAAAATAAAGTCTCACATAAACTCATCCGCAAACCGGAATAAGAACAACAAACAGCAACATCTACCACACCATCGTCATCTTTATCAGCACCATACCAAAGCACTAGCATAAACAAACAGCATTAAAACACACGAAATGAGCAAAAGAGCCTTTGAAAGTTAAGAACTGACAAGCGAGAGAAAGATACAGATCTTTATAAAAAAAATGATTCTGTTTAAATTCAATTAGGATTGGATCCGGCAAAGCCTATGTTCGAAGATACGTCAGACAATGATAGTTCGCTGGATAAATCGGACGCTGAATTCGTGGATATTATTCATTCATGTGGTGGTCTTTTGGGCTATGCAAAACCACTGGGTCACGTGTAAGTCTAATCGCATTATCTGAAGAAATGTTTTTTAATCATTTCAGATAGATTTTTGTCTGCAATTATATTTGCTATTTCATTTTCTTTATTTTTGGTATCTTTTATTTCTTTGTCAGTGATTTTTATCCTAATGGCGGTCGAGCATCTCAGCCGGGCTGCGAAGGAATTTACAAAGAGCTCTTAGGTGTGTTAACGTGTGTGTGTGTGCCTTTGTTTATGTGTTTAGACGTGGAATATTGCCAGAAATTCACTTTCAATGTTGATGGGGCGTTTATATCTTATTTTTCCTTATAAAACAGAGGCATGCAGTCATGGTCGATCCCATCAGTTTTTTGCCGCTTCCATATTTAAAAAGAATGTCTTCACTGGTTATCCATGTAATTCATATGAGTCGTATCGGGCTGGCACGTGTAAAAAGGAGAATGGCATTCAAATGGGTGATCCGGTGCCGAAAACTGCTCGTGGCGTTTACTACTTGCAAACGTCCGATTCATCGCCCTATGCACAGGGTCGCAAATAAATTAGATAATAATCTATACATTATTTCATTAGCGATGAATTAATGGCGCTCTTCTCTATTTGTAGCCTTTTTTTTTAAATTCACAAAATACACACACACAAGAATCGGTTAATCGGGACGAACAAGAGGAACATTTCCTTTGTTCAATTAATTTATTTGAATTTGATGCCTGAATTTAAGATATTTATTTATTTCATGCACTAATTTATTATCAAGTATTTATCATTGTCATTACTGCAACATATTGAAGTAAATTTCTCTTGAAGCTAATAAATATTCATTCGAATGTGGTTTGATCCTCAAAGTAACAAAATATCACGTACTTATGCGCGTTTGTTTGTTTGCCAATTTAAAAAAAATTAACTTATTGAAAATCCAAAAACTTTAGTACTATGATTGTCATGACATCATTTATTATTATTCAGCTAATTCTTTGGCAGAAAAATGTAAAAGCAAATAAGAAAAAATCTTAAAAACTGAACATTTAACGACTTAGATTGTATGTTCAATGGAGTTTGATACACCACGGTGGTTCTCTTTACCCATTCATTGTCAGATTTTGAAAAATTGTAGAGCGTCGTCCATAAATGACGGCAAAATTGGCTGTAAGTAACCATAAAGTGATTTCGACATATTGTGGAATGTTGCAAAGTCCCAACAATTAGTAGTGAATTTTTCCGTCATTTATGGACGGCGCTCCACAATTTCATACTTCGTATTTTATATGTATTCATTGAATACTATTCAATACAAGATTATATGCGTGTGGGTGGTTCGTTCACATAGAAAACAGAATTAGTGAACCATGACAATTCTTTTGGTGAAACAAGGTCGCTTTCTTCGTATACAAATACATGGGAAAGATTTGACGTAAGACGCCGAGACGCCTCTACGCGTAGAATGCTCGAAGCTGTCATCGTACACATATTGAACACGAACATTGTTGTTTACACAATCGCACTCACACAAATGAACGCATCGATAGTGCCCGCTCAATATATGTACGATGACTGTTTTGAGTGTCCCTCGCCTAGAGTGCTGCGTGTCGTTTTTCTTCGTTTATTAAGCGATCTTGGGTGAAACGACAAACTACCAATAGATTGTTTCAAATAAACTAAAAAACTGGTATGTCAAATGGACAAAATTTGTTCGTCCGTCCGTCCGTCCGTCCGTCCGTCCTTCATTTCAAGGAAGTATAGCCGGAGAGCGCATGCACCTATGTATTTATCATACACATATGCATGTACTCTCCGACTATACATGCGCTCACATTGCGACTAATTGCGGCATTAGCCTAATTAATCGCAATGCCATGCGCATCCACATTTGATTCACCTCGAATTAATTCCACTTTTTTTTTTATTTGTTCAAGGTAACGAGTATATTTTTCGCTTGGCTGTTTTTCTATACCACGTTCTTTCAGAACAATCTTCAGGGTAGATATTTCGGAATCAGCCTTGTTAATGTTATTCAACAAATTGCATGAATCGACGAAATCGAGAAATTTCTTATTTTTCGCCAACCTATTCACGCCAGAGGCTGTCTTTTTGTCGTGAATTTGAAAATCGACGATGAAGAGATCGTCGTTGCCATTGATCCCATAGTTCTTTGAATGGAGGTCTGTCAGAAAAAGAACATGACGTAGTACATCAAGCTTCAATAAATGTTCATTTTTGAATCGTCCATGCTTTGCCTCACATTTTTCGACAAAATTGTCAACTAAAATTCACATGTATTATCCTGAACGTACCTTTGTTGATGAATGTATTGATTTCATTTTTGGATGGTAAAAAAGATCTTGCAACCGTGAGATGTAAGATCATTTTCAACACACACACACAAATAATATTAACACTAATGATGAACGTGCTAGAAAGTTGGTGCAGAACAGAAGCGCATTGTACAACAATGATGAAATGCGATTGGAAATTTCGAAGGGAGCTGCGAAATCATTCAAGAAGGGCATATCAGATTCAAAGATAAAAAATATCATCATGAACAGAGCGACGCGAGACATCAACGAAGCAATACGTGAAGCAATGGAAATTGAATCTGAAGTCGCGGACAGCTCACAAATCAAGGCTGAAGACATGTATTGTAGGCTTTGTAAAAAAACCGGCCATATTTTTGATAATTGCAGAAAAAAGCCAGAAGGGGGCGACGATATCGCTCGAATAGTAAATATTTTGGGCGCGATAGGAGTGAATTCACAAAATAATCAAAATAACAATGGACAAAACCGTAACAGTCAAAATCAAAATGGTCAAAATAATAATCGGAATGGCAATAATAACCGCAACAATGGAAATAACAATCGACGAAACAACAACAACAACAACAACAACAACGGCGGAAATGGGAATCGCAATGGAAATGGCCGGAATAATTACAACAATAATGGCGGCGGATACAACAACAACAACAATCGTCAAAATGGTCAAAATCAAAATGGCCAAAATCAAAATAATTTTAGCCAACAATCGAATAATTATCCACAAAATTTCTATCATGATCAAAATCCACAGCAAAATAATGGAAATAATCAACACCAGATGGGTGCATACGCATTGAACAACGCGCAATTTCCACAAATGCCAAATGTTGCAAACAATTTTCGGGGTAACAACAATTCAGCGGAAAACTAGTTCGGATGGGTTGTGACGCCCAACATAGCTCATCCTACCGTCGTGAAGAAAATACTGAAATTTTGAACGCACATTTCCGAAGAGAAAAGAACAATGAATCAGTATTATCGGGCCTACAGGCGTTACAAATTTGTTCGATCAAATCGGCTACTCCGATAATTCAAAACATTATTATAGAAGGTGGAGCAGCATTCGCCATTTTGAACATAAGTATTACAAATAGAGCAGTTAAGTTATTAATAGACACGGGTGCATCCCTTACAATAATTTCAGTTAGGTTAATCAAAATGAACACATTTATTCAAAATCATCGTATCAATATGTATGGTGTTACGGGCACGGACAACAAAATCGGAGGGCATTGCACACGGTGTTGCCAATTTCGGGGACAATTCAATGGGCATTGCTCTTCACCTGGTTGATGAGAAATACGCGGGCAGTGCAGACGGCTACCTTGGATTTGACTTTTTATATCAGTACCGAGCGATGATTGATATTGCGAATAAAAAATTAATTTATCAACTACATCTGATTCCACCTATCGAGAATTGTGTTTCGAACGAGCCTCATTCTGAAGTTTTAACGGATAAAAAAGAGTGTGAGAATAAAAGTAAGGTCGAAAATGCGACTAATCAGCCTCTATATAATGTAAGGGTCATGGAAGAAGAACCCGTAAATTACATTAACAATATCGGCGCCGAAATATCTAGTATCAATATGAATCAGATGAATGAATGTATGAATGTAAATGAAAGTGAGAAGTTGGAATGTTTTGATGAATGCGAAAGAGAAAAGAGAATTTATCAAATTCTCGAAGACAATAATGTCTTCTATGGAACCGGAGGGCTAGTAATCCCGAAGAAGGTTTTCCACGTAGCTAATAGGCTACATACTTTTAGGAGTGCTGATCGAATGAATGTTATGAATGAAACGAATGATTTTTCCGCAAGAGATTTTTGTCCAGAATTGTTTACCAGCAAAAGAGCGAGAAACATTTTTATAAAACTAAATTTGAAGCACTGCACAATTCAAGAAAAACAGATGGTGGCTCAATTATGCAACGAGTATCAATTTCAATTTTACATCGATGGTGATACCTTAAGTTCCACGAATGTCACACAACATAAAATCAAATTGTTGCCGGGAACAAGCCCAAATAAAAGGAAACAGTTTAGAATTCCGCTAAAAATGAGGGAAACATTGGATAAAATGATTGCAGATTTAGAGAGACAGGGCATAATTGAAAAATGCCAAAGTCCATATAATTCCCCATGCTTTTTAGTACCCAAAAAGCGAGAAGACAGCGACGCAATCGAACCAAGATTAGTGTGTGATCACAAAAAGCTGAACGCAGTTACTGAAATCAATCATTTTCCTATCCCTCTAATTGACGACATTCTGAACAGTTTGCATGGAGCAAAAATTTTCACTACATTGGATATTAAGGGCGCGTATTACCAAATCGTTATGGACGTGAATTCAAGAGATTTAACCGCCTTCACAGCTGGAAAATATCAATACAGATGGTGTAGAATGCCGATGGGACTGGGAACATCAGCTCAGACCTGGCAATACACAATCAACATTATTTTGAGTGACCTAATTGGACATGGAATTTATGTCTATTTGGATGATGTACTGATATACGCACCAACGCAGGAGGAACATGATAAACTTTTGAGAGAGGTCTTGGAAAGGTTGAGGAAATTTTCATTCCAGTTGAAAATATCGAAGTGTAAGTTTTACGTTAGGAAGTTTGAATATTTAGGTCACATTGTTTCGGAGCATGGAATGTCACCGAATCCGAGAAATGTTGCAGCAATAGTAAATTACCCAATTCCAAAGACACTGAAGGCAATACAGAGCTTCTTGGGGATGTGTGGTTATTACCGAAAATACGTTCAGGATTATGCCCAAATAGCAAAACCGATAACAATGCTTACGAAGAATGGTATGAAAATTATCTGGACGCCAAACTGCAATGAAGCGTTTGAGAAATTGAAACACATTCTGGCAAGCGATGTGACGCTAAAATTTCCGGATTTTCAAAAACTATTCTACGTAACAACGGACGCGAGCGACGTTTCGATCTCAGGTGTCATTTCCCAGGGTGATCCACCTGATGATCGACCAGTTAGTTTTTTCAGCAAAACGCTAACAGACACACAAAGAAGATTCAGTGTAATCGAGCGCGAACTTTTAGCCATCGTGGAATCGATTAAAGAATTCAATCATTGGATTTACGCATACCTCGAGCATGCTTTTGTATCTTTGCCAAAAATGGTTCTGTACTAAGCTGAAAAAACTTAGCTAACAATTTAAAATACATTGCGCCACGCAAGCCATCTAGATGGCGCCACAAGAAAATTTGGTTCTTATACGAGGTGTATGCTCAAGATATGGATTTACGGACAATATTTCATCGTCGTAACTGATCATAAACCATTATGTTTCCTTTTTTCCATTCAGGATGTAAATTCGAGACTTTTTAGACAAAGATTGAAATTAATGAGCTACAATTTCAAAGTGATACATAAACCAGGTAGACAGAACGTAGTAGCCGATGCGTTATCCAGGATTTCACTGGAAGAGGCAAAATCCATAGATGAGATTCTGGAAGAAAACAATTTGAAATCAATGCTGGCAGTAATGGAACAAGAAGATATGGGAAGTACTGTGAATGTTGCCAATATCAATTTTGAAAATGGAATAACCTTTTCGACTGCAGATTTTGACGCATGTTTCTATTTGGTGAGCTCTGCTGAAAGCGAAATGTTCAAGCGGATAACGGGAAAATTCGAGGATTTAACGTTAAAACTGCAATGGCAAGAAGTCGACGAACGTTTTTTCTTTAAAAAACTCAATATTTCCGGAAATGAAAAAGCTTTGATAGAAAAACTAAGAGTATGTTTTAAATTCATCAGAACAGTGACACATACAACGCAATGTGAACGAATCGCAATCAATGTAGAACTGAGAACACCAAAAGAGAAAATGATATTCAGGACAGTTTTAGAGGAATATTTCGACAAAATAGAATTATCAGTAACAATTTTCAATCTTAGTGTAATAACGGTCGAGGATGAAGCTGATAGGAAGGAAATTTTGAAGCAATATCATAACTCTTTAATCGGCGGCCATGTTGGAAGCGAAAGAATGTATAAAACAATGAAGCAATTTTATACTTGGCCGAATATGTTACAGGACATAAAAGACTACGTCTCAGCATGCGAAATATGCGAAAAACAAAAACATCGACAAACACGCGAACACCGATGCAAATAACATCAACTGGAAATTCATTATTCGATCATACATACATGGACTTTGTTGGCCCATTACCAGAAACAGAAGGGGGTAATAAGTACATTTTCACTGCCACGTGTGACCTCACAAAATTTCTAGTGGCAATACCAACTAAAGATTGTACGGCACAAGTAACGGCAGAATGCCTATTGGAACATGTTATACTACGATACAATTTTCCATCAATATTATCGTCAGATAACGCGAAGGGTTTTCATGCTAAAGTTTTGAAGAAGGTGAATTCACTTTTATCAATAAAAAGAACCTTCAGCACGCCGTATCATCCATCTTCGAACATAGTAGAGAGACAACATCGTACTTTAAATGCGTATCTGAGGGCGTATTCCGAAGAAAACGATGTACTCTGGGACAAACAATTGAAATATGGGACCTTTGTTTACAATAACACCGTACACTCGACAACGGGATTCACGCCACATGAGCTGGCGCATGGATTCACTATTCAAATACCAACTTCGATTTCGAGATACCGTGGACCGTTCAATTATGATGATTTAGCCGGAGAAGTCCGAGCAAAAATCAAACAGGCCATAGAAATGGCGAAGGAAAAATTGACGAAGCGGAAAATAACGAACAAAAGAAATTATGATCGAAACACAAATCCAATCGATGTACACGTTGGAGACTTGATTTTGATGAAAAATTTCAATAAATCGAATAAATTTGATAATGTTTATGAAGGTCCATTCAGAGTGATTGAAGTTCAGGAAAACTATGTGACAATAATGAAGAAAAATAAACCAATAAAAGTGAATAAAGACCACATAAAAATCTCTAAAGCCACGCACGCAAACCCACCACCAGAGGTTTTTCCAGTAATTGAACCAACTGAAGAGGATTTGCTCGATTTGTTTAGCTAATATCACTATACATTTTACTCTTACTTTTAAATTTATTTGCCATTTCTTTTTCTTTTTCACACCTTTATAATTAGTTTTAACGAATTCTGCACAGAGCACAAAGTATTACGTTAACGGCATTTATTTAAAAATTATACTATTAATATTAATTTAAAATTTTACTCAATCGTTTTAGAGGAAACAATGATCCGAATGACTGTTTTGCTCATGCCAATTTTGATATTGTGCGGAGCATTAGAATGGAAAAATGAAACAGTAGATAACGCATTGGATTTCTTTGAGATAGGAGAAGCGTATGTGGGACACGAATACTATGATCTTAAATACAACTATAACCTTTCCGAAATTTACAAAATTACACAGCATATAAAAGAACAGACAACCGCAATAGAACCACATTGTCATAATGAGGGCACTTTCTGTATGGAATTATTAAATGAATTAAGATTAAATACTTTACGTATGGTCAAAAATGAAATAGAATTAGATGAAAACAGTCAAAAAACAATTGGAACGCAAAGTAATAAAAAATTTGATCACAGAGAATTGAAATATGTCTTAAACAGTTGCATACTCGATATAAGCAGACACGACAGATTATTATCAAACGTAAAGTCAATAATACTGAACAAAGACAATGCAGATCTTTTTGAAGTCATCGATAGAGAGACCATTGATGCGGATATTTCTATATTTCTGTCAATTTTCAATAGAGCCAAGAACATAACTGTACATCCAAATTGTGATTCAACATATTGCAAAATATTGAATTTTCAACATTAACCGCATCTATGGAGGACTCAATTTTAAAAATAAACGTTAGAATACCATTATTGACAAAATCAAGTTATAAAATTTACGCAATAATACCAATTCCGATCTCAAAAAATGAAAAAACCATGATTTTAGATTTAGAAAATGAATTCGTGTTGTTAAAATACCAAAACGACTGTTATGTGACTACCAGGTCCGAAATAAAACGAATAAGTAATATAAATTTGGTCATGCGACACAATACAAATAGAACAAAAAGTAGTATATGTTTGGAATCCATTATAAACGAAACATTAAATGAATTTACTGAAAATTGTAATCTAAAATACATTCCCAATTCAAATTATATAATCAGGATATCAGAAAATGTACTCCATTTGAAATTGAGAGACACATTGAAAGTGTTTGAAATTTGCTCGAATCATACCGAAATATATCAATTTGACCGATCAACAATTTTATTCTTGAAACAAAATTGTTCCACAATAATAGAAAACCATACGTTTAAAGGAGAAAATAATAATGACGCAAATGTAAATTTCATATCAACAGAATATAATACAAATGAAAAAACGCATATTTTTGAACCACCATTAAACAAACACAGTTTGATATATTTAAGAAAACAGACAAAACTGTATGTAATTACGAATAACGAAGAAATGGGAAAGTTAATATCAGAGACAGGGGTAAATTTACTGCTACTGGAATTGGTCGAAGAAACCGAAACCACATTTTTACACATTATTTACTCATGTATCATTTCAATAACAACAACAATAATCCTTTTAATTGCTGTTGACTAAGTTCTGTGTGATAGAAGTTGTCATTAAAAGACAGGTGAATTGTAGTCGATGGTTGATTAAAGACTGACGATTTTATTCATGCACTTAAAGACTATATACAATAAATTGCTTAGCTGACTTATTTAAATTCTCCGAATTCTATTCAGGTTATTGTTGCACTTATAACTAAATAATAATTATTTCTTGCTTATGATTCATTATTTCGTGCGATTTCATTATTGTTCGATTCCAGTTAATTCAAAATTATGTCAATAGACATTCTCCGGGCCACCTTTAGCGTGACTGGCGGTGCTCTAAACGGCGAGTCAAATCTTCAGATAGATTTGGCATCGAAATTGCACGTGGTAATCTGATTCGTCTATTACCCCTGATGAAATTTACAACGTAGAATATCAAGCATACAACGATGAACAGAGTGAAATAGTTTACTGAATAGTTATGAATGTCATGAATGTCGATTTTTTCCTTTAATTTAGATTGATTTTCGATGAATTTTAACTGATTTTGTAGTTTAGTCAAATTAGTTTTGGCAAATTCGATCAAATTCGTTGTTCCGTTTGAAATGAATGGCTCGTACGAAGTGAGATTGAATTGGAAATTCGGAATAATGAAATCATGTGGCGCGCGCTCTAAACTCTTTTGGGGCATTAATTCAAAATTATCACCCCGAAGTACGCAATTGTCGTTCAATTTTAGGGTTCCAGAGCCAATAGCGCTGTGGTGATTTACACTATCGCCGCAAATAGATATGAACTTTTCCACATACTTACAGAAAAATAACCAATTGTTCGGCTCTTCGAGTTCTAACCATTGGTAACGCAAATTTACCTTGGATAACTCGCAATTCGAGTTGGCTTCATGATTAAAGAGAGACCACACACAAGATTTGAATTGGCTGGTTAGCCACTTGCGGGGCTCGAAGCAGATGACCATGTCATCTGACTGTTTTTTGCATTTCAGTTCATGCTTGTTTCTAATCAATTGATATTTTTGCCGATTTAATGACGCGATAATGACTTCGAATTTAGCATTTATTTTCAGAGTTTCGTCATTGTATACAAATGGCGTTTCATACATATGATACAATTGAAACCTTTCGTCGCTTATCAATGGAATGGCAATTCGAAAAAATAGTGTCTTATTTGTGACAAACGGAGTGATGGTTGCCAATTTGTAGAAATCGGTTCCATCCGGAGGTGCCTGTTGGTCTGATAAATATTCACTCATTATATTTAATTGACCCTTTACTTGAGCAGGAGTTATTAGATGATGATCGATATGATTTTTTCTAGCGCCAGTAAGTATGTCCAACATGCTATCTTGTTGATGCTCATAATCAGAGATCATTTGTAAAAGATACACAGACATAGTATGAAAATGCAAAACTGCTTGCTGGTCATTGGTTTGAACACGTACCAAACCCGCTAGATTTATTATGCTTTCTCTCTGATTTATGATTTCCCGCTCATCTTTTTTGATTATATTCATAGTGGAATTTAAAACAGAAGTGTGGTTTTTCAAAAAAGTGAGCAAATGTTCGTCATTTGATTCCAATCTTGACATATCGAGAACGTATTCTCGTCCGAATCGAGAGTCTAAAACTCCAAATAAATCGCCAGCAATGTTTCCAACAATGTCAAGTAACGCTCTTTCTGCTCGATGATGCTTAAACGATACTATTAACTCATTTCGTTCATTGATGTCGTTGATACGATTTTCAATTAGTTGACAAAGAGATTTGCATGAGCTTTGCCCCGCCAGTTTTTGATTGCATACGTTTTCTAAATCATGTAAACTTCTTTCCATCATCGATGCTTCGTTGAGAAATGATTTCATGTTTACATAAACAATCGAGTTCCAATTGGTGTAACTGAACTTTGCATGCGAAATTTGTTCGAAAAACAAACCCGGCGAGGTGTCAAATTTATTCAATTTGAACGGAACGATTTGATTTGGGTGAGCATTCACTTGAATCACAAAAATTGCAAGCAATGCCGTTATTATCGGAATGACATTAAATGTTTGTTTTGCCGGTTTGGATTTTGTAATTATTTATACAAAAAGATGTTCAATGTAAACACATGGGTTGGAGTAACCTCGAAGATGATTGAAAAATTAGCTAAAGAAAAATAGTAATTAGTTCAGAAATCAAACAAAAACACTAGAAAATACAAAAAAAATGAATATAATTTATATTATATATATAGATTACATATAGGTTAAGTTTTTTTCATGTAATTCTGAACTTTTTCGGGTGGAAGGAATATAGCCGGAGAGCGCATGCACCTATGTATTTATCATACACATATGCATGTTCTCTCCGACTATACATGCGCTCACATTGCGACTAATTGCGGCATTAGCCTAATTAGTCGCAATGCCATGCGCATCCACTCAGTCTCATTCGAACTCGACTCAATAAAGCACATGGAAATAGAACTCTCCTCCGGCGTTTACCACATTTTGATATTATCCACTATAGAAGGACGAACAAAACCGATTTGGTTCGTTCTCCTCCTGAAGCATCCTGAAATGATCGATAATGTTTTTCGTATGCTGCTATGCCGCCTGCAATTTGTATATCAGCCGTACGATTTAGATCTGTGAATTCACGAACATCGTTTGGTCGTTTGAATAAGCAACTCTCTGAAAAATGGCGCCCATGTACGGTTTTAACATCGGTTTTGCCCGTAACACGATCCACTAACTGGATTGGATTTATCGTAATGAACGAGTTACATCCGGTGCAAATCGATCGTACATCAATTCTTTGATTTTTCAATATAACATTTGTTTTGATTACACCCCGTTCAAAGTAATAGTTTCTTATAAAAGTGGCTTCCACACTAATTTGTACAGTATCGATTGAATCACTTTTCTTGGTGAAATGAATCTTTATGTTTTTCAATAATTCTTCAATTCTGTCGCCGCCGTGAAACATGCATTCTTCGGCTTGTTCGTCAAGATAATTACAAAATGATATTTTTCCTTTCAGTTCGTTTGTGTTCACTGTTTTATCTAATTTCAATTCGTATTTTTCGGAAAGTTCGACAAATTCTCCCAAACAGATTTTAGTGATGGTTGTCTCGGCGATAGTTTTTTCTTTTCATCGTCATTCGTGTAATCGTTGACATCGTTGACGAGAATGTAGTCATCGTTTTCGCTGTCGTCGACGTCAATTACGGGGACGATATTTGCTGGTTGTTTTTCACCCATTTTCTTCAACACAAAAAAAAAACCAAAACAATAGAATTGCCAAAAAAATGTATAGATAAAAAAATTGAATCAGACTGCTATGCAACTCGTCCGAAATTCATGATTTGCCGAATTTTTTTAATGATTGATTTTCGGTACTATTCTGCAGTTTATGTGTTTCTATGTCAAATTTGGAACATGAACCACGAAATAGACCCAATACAACACCGATATGGTGCGATTTTTGATCCAATCACCTACTTGGTAAAATAGCTGATATAAAACGATAAACATAAGGTTATTTTCGACAAATTCATCAATTTTTAGGCTTCCATAGATGCTATTTTCGAATTTATTCATGCCAATTGTTTTGGTTATTGATGATATTAAATTACATGTGCATTCCATTTACCGTGTGCATTTGCACTGTCTAAGAATTGATTTTCATTATTCAATTTTCGAATACAAAACACATGTATGATATATACATATTCATCTAAAATGAATTGCAGTTAGCTACTCTACCCTTCCTTTCAGTAGAAGAAGTTTGTAAAATGGAAATCGTCTCAACTCAAAAAAAAGTTTGCGACGCTGTGAGATCAATCTATCCATTATCTTGTAATTTTTATCGGCGCTCATTGAATGATTCTGAAGTTCATTTCGGCTTTTGTACATCAGGTCCATGGCAGGTCCAATTGACACCTTCAAAATTGTTCCACCTGATTTTACTTGTTTTATTTAATGTTTTTTACATTGACGTGCATAGTCGCAGCAATTGAATCAGTGTGGTGTTGTTAACGTATGAAATTGAACAAAATCCCGCATAGTTGAAAAAAGTGTAATTAAACCAAATTGTGCTTGGCTTTCGAAATACGTCTATGAGTAATGAACTCAACACAAGTGTGTACAATGTACAAGGTACAGTTAAAAAAGGCGTTTTCTATCTTGAAAAATGTAATTTCTCACAAAACATTCGAGAACATATAATTCCGGAGCACAAATATCCAATTCAAATCTGCGATTTCAATTTTTCGACGAAATAACGGCCATTTACATCCGACCATGCATATTTTCATTTTCCGCAGCAAATTTATTTTCATTTAAATTTTCGCGCAGTTCAAGTGTCGTTTCAATGAAACCATTTGTTTCACCTATTCTAAAAATAAGCACATTTTCGAAGATCGTTGCCTGTGCAAAATGTCAAGTATAGATTCGAAAATTGTTCAGTCAGCGGCTCAGCAGTGTCAGTCGATTAGAAGTATTGCAAAGTTGTGTAAAATATTTTCGCTTTGTTCTTTATTGAAAGCAAACGACCGACATTTCGTAATTCATTGTTACTGCAAGTGCATCCAAAGAGATTTTTTTGATACGAACGGTGTGCAACGGAACGAATTTGGAGAATGTTTAAGAAGATCATTTCGGAAATTGGCGGAACAGTTGCCAAAAATGTGAATAATTACCTAATTTTTGCGTGTTTTTAACTTATTTAAAAATTAAAGTGTGAACTGTATGCAAGAAAGCTATCGTTTTGTTGAATAGTTATGGCAAAAGTTGTAATTTTGCGACTATAGATTTCAAGAGTATTCTTATTTTCGCAGTTCTAAAGGGTGCTCACATCAATCGATTGATAATTACCTAACAATTTGATAAGAACGATCGTTTTTCTGTCATTTTTGTATGATCATTTCTACTCATGAGCTGAAAAATCGGACGAACTTTTCGATTCACACACTTGAAAACAATCGATCTCCAACGAAAATTGAGTGAAAAATAATATTTTTTTCTTTCGTGCTCTTTTCAGCAAACTGCAAAAGCTTATGCAACACAAGCATCGTTCGATGTCAAAGTGAGTAGTAATTTTTTACGTATGCGCTCGCGTCATACTGCGCTATGTTTGTTGAATAATAGATGTAAACAGTTCTGAATGCGGTTTTTATCCGTTCGTGTTTTTGTGCCGCTGTGAAATATAAATAAACTGCGCGTTTGTTGGCTATGGTGACGAAGCAGTGATTATGCTTCATTAGAGCGTACATCTATGTTTGTGCTTTCATATAGATATATATATATATATATATATATATATAT